TAATAATGGATTATGACTGCTGAGTTGGCTTCAATTATTATAAATGAGTTACCTGATTTATTTCTATTATTTGTTGTTGTTATTAATATTGCGTACAGTTTAATGTAAGCGAACCGCCTTAGCCTTGTCATTACTTCGTCGAGGTTAGGCTCAGCACCTACCAGTACATGGGGTCGGTTGTACTGATACTACACTCTGCACTTCTTGTGCAGATTTCGGAGTTGGTCCCAGCGGCGTGCCATAGACTTGCTCGGATTTCAGCTACTCGGAGGAGACTTGAGGTATAACTGCATGGCGTCCGTAGTTCTGAAGTCCCCGTCTATTTTACTTTAGTTGTGTGTTTATTTCCAGACAGCTTTATTTTATTCAGACCTTTATTTATATTATTTTAGAAGCTCGTATACTTGTGACACCAATTCTGGGATGGTATTTAGACACCGTTATTTTTATGGATTATTCATTATATTTCAAACTTTGCTTCCGCATTTGTTTCTTTGTTATTAATAAATTTAAAATTGTTTTAAAATGGATAATATTATTCTAGCGTTGGCTTGCCTAGCAAGTGAAATGTTAGGCGCCATCACGGTCCGAAAGTGGGAATTTCGGGTCGTGACAATTCCCAAAGCCAATTCCTCTTCTATTGCTACTATGATGTTCCTGTAGCCATGACAGTGCATCGGAGGACCTGTTCCATTTACAAGTTCTGTCTAGTTCATGCTTGACCTTGCCTAGATCCTCTGTCAAAATTCTTACCTGCCCATCCTTCTTATACAACTCATCTTTTAGTTTACCTATATTTTCTTCTAGAGTGAGTTGTGTGCAATCAGTTGTCTTCTTACTTGTTCCTAATTTCAGTTTTAGGTTTTCAGATCTAAGTTCTAGGACATTTGATTCAAATGCATGAACCTGGTTCTTTAGTGCAGTATTTTCACTTACAGTTTCATCAACTCTAAGTTCCAGGTTCTTACACTTTGCTTTTAAAATCACACATTCTTTAGACAGTTGTTCCTTTTCATTGTTTATATCCTCAGATTCATCAATGAAATCTAGAAGTAACTCAGATAGACTTTCTTTAGACAAAAACTTAATCTTGTCTTTTAGATGGATTATACTTACTTCAGATTCCTCATCGGATTCTCCAATTGCCATAAGTGCTTGTTCATCTCCATCTTCATCATCTGAGTCCTCATCTGAGCTTTCTCTCCAAGCAGTAAACATAGCTTTTGTTGATCCTTTGTTCTTCTTGGGATGAACATGTTCCTTCTTTCTGTTTCTTCGTTCAGCTATTTCCTTCTTCCATTCAATTTCCCATTTAGGGCAGTTTTTGATGTGTTGATCAGTTTTCCCATACTTGTAGCAGCCCTCATTGGTCTGTTTTTCAGTAACCCTTGGTTTGTTGTAGCCTCCACTTTTTGAAGAACCCTTTACTCTCATTAGGTACTTCTTGAAGTCCTTTTTGATCATAGTCATTTCATCTTCCTCTAGATCAAAACCTTCAGTGATTCTGAGTGCCATGCTCCTTTCTTTCTTTAGTACATCCATCTTCATGGTTTGCCTTCTAAGTTCATAAGCAGTGAGATTTCCAATTAGCTCATCCAACCTAAGAGTGGAAATGTTCTTTGATTCCTGAACGGCAGTGATTTTGCTCTCCCAAGTAACTGGCAGAACCCTTGTCAAAATCTTCTCAACTCTATCTTCTTTAGAAATAATCCTTCCAAGAGACTTAAGTTTATTTGTCAGTGTGGTGAACTTTGTATATATCTCTTGGATGGTTTTCCCTTCCTTCATGGTGAAATTCTCATATTGAGAATATAGTAGTGTTCCTCTGGACCTCTTCACTTGAGGTGTTCCTTCATGGGACACTTGCAAAGTGTCCGGGATTTTCTTAGCAGTGGTACAGCTTTGGATTCTACTGTACTCATCTGGACCGAGTCCACAAACAAGCCATTTCTTGGCTTTAGCATTCTTCTCCCATTTCCTCAAGTCGTCAGTAGTGTAGTCAGCTCTTGTTTTTGGCACCTCTGCTCCTTCGGTATTTATCTTTATGGTAGCCAGTGGACCATCTGTGATAATTTTTCATAGCTCATAGTCTTCTCCTATGATGTGATCTCTCATCATGTTTTTCCACCAAGAGTAATATTGGTCGTTGAAGAATAGTGGCCTAGCAGTGGATTGCCCTTCCCAGCTTCCAGGTGGTGCACTCATCTTGATCTTCTCCTAAGGTGTTAGCCTCTTCAAGGATAACCCGCTCTGATGCCAATCGATGTTTTAACTTCAATACCACACAAGAGGGGGGTGATTTGTGTGGTATCTAATTTTTCGCGTGCACAGATTATAGAAGGACCTGATTCTTCTATGTGTTCCTAATACTACTGTTGCGGAATAATAAATGCAGAAATTAAAAAAAAAAACACAAGGATTTTACGTGGAAATCGCCTGGCTCAAAAGGTGAAAAAATCACGACCTACTTCCCAGTAGGATTTTTCCAAAACTCTTCACTAAATTACTGAGCCAAAAACTGCATTTACAAAATACTTTTGTAGACCTAGGATTAACTCTAATCTCGTTGTGGCACACAGCCTCTAACTGTTGCGACAACTTCAAGTTAACTCTAACTTGAATACTCTGAGTACCTATTATCATTGCCTCTAGATAAAGCTGAAAGGTACACTATGAAAATACCTACTACAATTGAACTAGAATAAAAGACATACACTTGGAACTGGTTCTTTTATCTGGTTCATGTAGCTTCAGGTTCGCACGCTTGAATCACACACGAACTGCTTGCAAAATGCCTTGCTATTTTACTCTCAATTCACGTTTAGCTTCTGATTTTGAGTGTTACATATAGAGTGAGAACATTCTGCAATATATAGAGTTAGTAGATGAAGAAATAACTAGAGTTCTAATGCTACTCTTCCTTGGTGGAAGAGTTCTAGTTGATCTCAGCCTCTAACTCCTCCCTTATCTTGGATAGTGTTCTCTTTAATTAAGGAGTCCTTCTCCTTATCGATTGTGCAACCCTTTTCGATCAGGAGATATTAATTAGACCAAGTTAAGCTTATCTCCTTCACGTGCATCCCACATGCTCGAATCTGCCCGTGTCTATGCACACAATGGATGGACCTGGTTCATGCTTGAGCTTCCTTTGTCAATCTTCAAAACTAACCTTCACTTAGGCTAACACTGCTCATTCCGTGTAATCCTCGCTAGAGGATTTGCAGAACGTACTGTTCATTCATTCAGGTGAAAAAATTAAATAACTTCTTTTTGTTCTTAATAACAGTCATAAGTTCGATAATTCTTTTTCTTAATCTTGTACTTACAAGTGTAAATGATACCTTTTGATAAAGAAAAAAAAAAGAGGTAACATAAAAGAGAAGGGAAATACATTTGTCCATGGAAGTAGGGTATTTCATTCATTTGAATAACAATCTTATAGTATCTGACTCTAAATATCATTAATTTTATAATATTTTTTCTTGGATCAACATATTTTTAACTAATTTTTTCTCTCTCTAGAGTATTCGTGATTACAAAGGCAAAGAAGTCAATCGACAAGAAGCCAGCAAAGGAGAAGAACGCCAGTGTTGAAATTAAGAAGAATAGAGAAGCTCTTGCATGCAACAGAAGAGCCTTTAAGCAATAATCATATCAAATCAGTTCATCCACTTTTTTTCACTCCATTTCACTTAATTCTCATGCTTATTAGAAATAAAACAGATACGCTGCTCCATGACAAAAGTTTATTGATTTTACTAACCATGCATGTTAGTTTTTCTTTTCGATATTTTGGGGTTGAAGTATGGTTGCCCGGAGTTAGCTACGCATAAGTAATTCTTGAACGTTTTGTACAGCTGTTGAAAATTCTTTTATGTTCTTTTTGTTCTATCTTTTTCGTTGTAAGTTGCTATGTACTTAATTTATAATTTTTTTTACTAACATCTGATTCTTATAATCTTTCATAAAAAATTGATGCATTGACAATTGTATATTGTACTTTCAACAAGAATTTTAATATGGGGACAACAAGAGTTTGGTTATGACGGGGCAAACATCGTCTCTTAAAAAATATTAGGTGAGATATACGATCATATCCCATTTTGTACCTCACAACATCAAAATTAGTGTAATTACAAAGCATACCTACCCAACTAAATAGAATTATTTACCTTCGCAGGTCAAACTCTATCCAGTCATTTTAATCTGATATCACATACACTGTTTATCATTTACAATTTACATTTTTCCTTTAAATTTTGTGTGATATATACTTCACACACTAATTTTAATAATATTTGTCATTTAAAAAAAATTATATACTTGACATGGGATACACGTGCAACGCACGTGTCCAGAAACTAATATATATACATATATATATATATATATATATGAGTCTTGCTAACGTACTACATGAAGGTAGTAAGTTAGCTAGATACCCATTTTTGCTTTACCTAAAACATCCCTATTAATTGTCCATCGCCTTGATAAATTTTAAACAAAATTGTCATTTTACTTTCAAGTGAAAAACATGCTACAGACCTGCATTTACAATTGAACTGATTCCCCACATTCCTGGCTTCCTGTGATCTCTGTAACAAGCCTCAAAAGTTACTTTTTCTATTTCTCAAAAACTGCTTTTGTTTCTATTTTCCTTATAAAAGTTTGGCCAAAGAGCTTTAACTTGGGGGTGAAAAAACACCTTTAGCTCAAAAGAAGCTTGGCCAAAGTGGCTATTAGTCTCTAAGATAATGAACCACAGAAAGTCTTATACGTGCAAGTCAATTAGAGCTCCATATTCTGACTATTAGGTACAGAAAGGACTAGGATTTCTCTTCAAAACACCAAGAAAGGAAGGATCTTTATTCCTTCCATTTTCGCTAGCAAATTTCTTTTAAATATTTGAAACACGACTCTGTGCAGCAATGTCAGAACAATATTTGTGTTTACATAAACACTGACATGTTTGCTTATTTGTTTCAACTCTTTCGGCACACTGATAAAAACTGGCATCCTCAATGGAGTTACCAACTATACCTTGCATTGATCAATAAGTTAGATTTTGTACTTCTTTTGTTACAGATAGAAAAAGACACATTAATTTCAGAAAGAAAAAGGAATAACAAAATAAGGGATCCTCTTCACCTCTAACCCATCTGGCTAAAGCAAGTCAACACCCAAAAAAAGCAATGGAAAAAGATATGACTTGACTCAAAAAGGGTGTACAAATTGCATATACCCGGAAGAATCATCCCATTAGCACTCAAAAATAAAATATGCTCCTTGAAATTCAATCTGAATCAGAGGAATATTGAGGCTTCAGTGTCACTACCAACTTAGACAGCGTCTCTCCCATGTCTTCCACTTCATCTTTTCCAAAACCCCAACTTTGGAGCAATGGCGCCCCAAGGGCTCCTCGGTCAATACCAAACTTATGAAGGTTTCCAAGTTTACTTTCCAAAAAGGGCAAAACAGCAGTGCTTGAACGTAATCTTGTTACCATAGGAATGGATTGGACTTCAAGAGATCCCCTAGATGAGGAACCTGAAATTGGGGTCTCCAATAGCTCACCATGTTGGCCAACCATATTGCCAAAGATCGAAGGGAAAGGCAAGGGTATCGGAAGAGGACAAGTAGCAACTGATAGGTGTGAGAATTTGGGCATCGTCATTGAACTATCATATGCAGCCTGAACTGCATCCTTAACTTCATAAATTGAGGCCCTTTGGTTTCCTGAAAATTAAATGGGAAACTACAGTTAAACTAATCAAGTATATGTGCATAAGCTGTATACAAAAAGGTGTAAATAGATGCACCATTAAAACTCATTGAATAAGCCAATATGCTTTTACAGGTGGGCATTCATTCACTTTACACATCTCAGATTTACCTCAGTTTCCTCGAAGCAATCTCTCACGAGTTGAAGTTACAAGCACCTTACAAACTACTATTTTATTTGCCATTTGCTTGGTCCCAAATCTACTCCACTATTTAGGTAGGTTTTAACTTTGACATTAGTCCACATGGAACAGTGAAGCATCTCATTCCCCAACTTTTGTTTACTGTATCCATTCCATTATCTCTAGATCTACAAATGAAAAGTTTGCAAAATCATTGCACATAGCAAGGATTTGATGGTAATATTTTAATCTGTAATTAATCGAGCTATGTGCCTTAGCAGTTCAAACCAGGTTAATTTAATTTCAATGAAATTTACATACAGCAGTATAGCCTGAACTTCACTTTAGTAAAAGCAGCAATAAAGATCGGTAATATGACATATATTAAGCAGATGGGGTCCATAAAGAGATGAGAAAGCCAGTATGAGAATCATAAAAGGTAAGTCAAAAGCTATAAATAGGACGAGAAGACTGAGCAGCAAATGTAAACAATATAAAAGGAAATATGCTAAAGATCACATCAAATACCAGATGTAACTGCTCCATGAATGTTCATTGTTTCCACTGCATGTAAATCTTCAACATCTTCTGCTACATCTGGAGTCAAGGGCTGCAAACTTCGGAGTAAGGACTGCTGAGCCTGGTTTACTGGGGACAAAAGAGTCTCCAACATCAGGTGTGGAGGTAATTGAAATGACTTCAGAAAAATGAAAGTGGCAGGAAAAGAAAGCATACCACTTAAAGAAGGTGCTGGCATGGCAAAATCCAATACAGTTACCATGTTCTGCCTCATTTGGCCAGCTAGCATTTGTACAATTCCGTACATATCTAGAGCACCAGATGTACAGATTGATTCGGCAGAAGGCCCAGATTGTTTCATCCTAAAAGGAAGACTAAACGAGTGCATAGCAGACGCATACACTGCACTGGAGTGGTAAGGCTTTTCGTCTTTAATGCAGAGAAACTGGGAAGCTCTACCTTGACATTTACATAAATGCAAATATTAGCCACGCAGGAACTCATATTCAGATTAGAGATTAAAATATGAGAAGCATACAGAGTAAGAGGTCATACAATAAAATTCAGTTATAGAAGTTATGACCTGCACAGAAGAAACTAGAAAAGAGAAAGGTAGACAAACAAGAGACAAGTTCTTACAGGTGAAGAAAGAGTCTACCAACTACAACACGTCAACACCCATCAGTTTTAACATCCAGCGAATGAACTGGTAAAAGAGAACAACATCACCACCTAATATTTAGCTGTTAAATATACAAGTTTAACACCCATGTTCTCACCCAACAATTACTGAAGTCTCCAAGTTCTTTTGAAGCACGGGGTTAGTGGAATTCTTAATTGTTTTTAAATAAAGACACATAGTTTAGTGGAATTCAAATTTGTTAATTCTGTTTGATGCTAAAAATTGCTGAATGTTGTTGACAAAATTCACACAACTCCTTTTGAGCGAGGAAAACACAAGTTTGCTTACAGCAAGTGAAAATGTACGAGCCACAAGCCATGATATCTTCAAAAGAATATGGGGTGGACATATGCGAACTCATGGGTTGGCTACTTATAAGTAATAATAAACCCATAAAGTATCTCTTTGGTGTAGCCCACGAGTCCATACAGACAAATAATCTCCTTTGTATGGACTAATATGCAGTACGAACTTGCAACTCAATTTAGTTCAACAGCTTCATTAAAAAAAAATGAATTTAGTTCAATAAAGTAATCTAGGATGCTCGAGACAACCATATTTAAGGAACTTGGGCAATTTTATTGAAAGAATCTCATTATGAGAGTAGCAGTTCTTACTTCCACTCAAGGAGGGCAGACCAACAGGGATAATCAATTTACACAACTCTGATAGCCTTGAAAATGAGACTGCATCGTGAAGATTACGCGAGATAGCTTGCTTGCGGCCTTTGGAATCCATGTTCAAACTAGGATTACGCGCATTATATAGTAAAACTGGGACGTTTGGGTACTCATCTGCAATGTTCTCCAGAAATGCTGCAGCTACACCAGAAAACCCTCCAGAGTCATCAACAACGCATTGTATCCCCTGTCAGAGATATTAACAAAAAGATCAACTCTTGCCAACAGGAAATGAACACAAGTGCAGGTGAAATCATGTTTGCTTAGGCATTTACGCATAGACACATGTCAAGCAGTAAAGGAAGACAAAACCATTTGAGTCCAAAAAGAGTGCAAGATTTAAGATCTCAGAAAGCAAGGGGGAGAATGTAAAGTCACATTCCCAACATCAAGCTGAAAAGTTGATACTCAAACTCTGCTATAACCAAGCATTTGAAAACCAGACGAATTTATACGAGGTTATTTAAGTCAGCTATAAACCAATCTGATAATAATATTGGTCTGAGATGAGCTTAAATGGAGCGACATGGTCACTGAGGTTTCATCAGACTTTCAACTTGCTAGAGATTCAGGCGTAGCTGTTCCTGACTTCCTGTTGTTGATAAACCAACCTGACAACGGATAAGATATTATAGTCTGGTAGTATAGTGAGGCTGCCCCCAGGGCTTTAGTTCAATGGTACGGACGCAACACGTGAACTGCCGACTTGTCACACGTCACGGGTTCAGACCCTGGCATGGACAAAGGGTTGGTATTTAAGTTGGGAGGGGGTAGATGAGCTGGCCCATACTTCCGGAGTTTTGAACCTGTTGATACCTCACAAAGTGGACCGACATGCGATTTCATCGATATTAAAAAATAAAACTACTGTGAAGCTTTAGAGCACAGGACTAAAGGTAAGCCTATTGATACTCAATGAGGATAAAGTTCATTCAACATCAAGAAGAACTTGCATACAAGACAAACAATGCTGTCAAACATGTAGAGAAATAGTAATATAATCTTACTGGGAAGAATTACAACCATTAGATGGCATAACTTTTAGGTGGTTGATCTGCCCACAAACCCGAGGGTGTTTGTGAACAACAAAAAGCCAGCCAGAAGAAATAGTAGTCTAAATATTTCAATCATAAGTACCTGAATATGATCACATTCTTCGATGAAGAAACGAAGCCTATCATCTATTTCTTCACCGTGTTGATGTCCACAAAATGCATCCTTCCCGAGTGCATAATTATCGAAATCCTGAATCTCTACCCATAATCCACTTAATTCATACAAACTCTGTGGATGATAGTGCACTTTTGAAAAGTCTGTCCAATATTGAACATCACTTTCCAAACATTCAACGATATCCTTATCTTGAATTTCACCCTGAGAACTGCCGTTCCTATTGTCTAAAGCGGCTTTGTCCATGCTCTCCTGTTCTTCCTCACTTAAACTTTGCAAGAAGAGATTCCTTCTTAAAGGTTCAGATGCATGAGTTGCGACTCTACCCTTCCTGCACATTTGTCTGAAGACCTTCAGCATATAGTTCCACTCAAAACTTAGGTATATGAATTTAGCAAACCTTCCCCCCATCACCATCAATGATGTAAATGTCCTGTTGGCCTTTTTGTTTTTTTGACAAGTTATTTGTATAAAGGGACCTTTTTTGTAGTGATTTTGCATCTTCTGGATGAACCAGCTTTTTTCTCCTCATATTTATTTCTTCTCGTTCTTCTTTTTCTTTTTCTATGCCTTTTTTCCGCAGTGGGGTTGGGGAAAAGGGGGGGGTGAGGGGGAGAACATGTCGTGCCTTACTTTGTGCCATACTATTTTAACACAGAGTAATGGTTGCAAGACAAACAGATTTAGAGTCTCACCATGTCATAACATCCAAGCTTTTGGCTGGGATTTGACTGTACAAGGATCCACGTGAACTCAAAGATCCAAGAGACCCTATCATGTTACAAATGTGCAAAAGACCATTTGTTAGATCAATTAACTGAGTATGGACTACTTATTCTCTAGCATAATATGAAAATATATTATTCTCTTCCTCTGCTTGTTGGTTTCACCAATGGGTGACAGCAGAACAATTCATAACTTAGGTAAAGATGTGATTATGCCTAGTAGATATCTTCCAGTCATGAGATGATATAATGTGCATATCTATTCATGGAGAACAAGTCAACAAATGATTAGTTGGAATGACATAAGTAAAATAGATAAGCTTTGAGGTTAAGCCTATGCAATTATAATTTGAGTATTGTAACATATGTGCTCCATACAGGGTATTACAGAAAACTTTAAGAAAGGTATTTCTGCCTTGGCCAACTCTTTGATCATAATTTGTTCATTTCAATAATTAAGAATACAACCCCCCCCCCCCCCCCCCCCCCAAGATACATAAGGTGTAAGTCTGGAAAAGGTGTAAAGACAAGAACTAAGAAAACAGATCAAGTTCTACCAAACTTTTCGGATTTTTCCTGCTTGAAATATACTTGTCCTGATCTGTGATTCAAATTTTATATAACATTTCTTTTTCTTTGTCCATCATTCTGTTATAACTGTTATGATCAACATCAAAATGTAATGACTACCCAGCGACAGAGATTTCGATGAAGAAATCCTGGCATCAACATGCAAACAATAGTCGGATTTCAAAATAGATGATTCAACCACAGAGGGTCAACTACACAGCACATAATTGCGAGAAGAATAGAGCTCGCCTCCACTTTAAATTCCACCCGTCTCTGATCTTATATGAAAGTTCAAATTCTAATTAAAGAGAAACTTGGAACCAGCCCAAATTGTTATTGAATATGGATGCAGAAATGCTATTGAACTGCGCCAAAAATAGCTCCTCAATTTTTTTGATCTTTATTACATCCATACCTACCACAAAGCTCATGTTTAACCTTCAGATCATATATAATTTATTTTTTTAATCGAGTCATGTCCTATATAATGTGCATAGAAGCTAACTGCTAAATATTCTAGAATAGAAGATATGGAGGTAAGGCAACTTCCAAAGAAATCTATTTACTTACTATCTTGAGGTCCCACATAGTCTGATTACCAACTGGAAGAGTAGGGTAATCAAGACAAGAAGATTCATGCAGTTCCAAGACAACAGTATAACATAAACCCCAAACCATGGTGCTTAAGAAAAAAAGATCTTTGAGGCAACTCAACATGACAATTAGATAATATACCTTGAAAATTTACTGAGACCATTCGAGGGGTGTATGTAAGGACGCCCTACATTCCAAAAATGTGAGAGTAGCTCTAAGTATGTGATAGCTATATAACAAAGACATAATCCACTATAAAGTTTATGATCAGATAACTCACCTGCTGAGTTTCACCAGTACGATACAACACGTCCATATCAAGACCATGATTTATGAATACTTGATCACTCTCAGGGCTTTCAGCCAATCCAAGTAATTCATCCTTCAATGTTCAATATTGAGTAAGAAAATATTAGCCAATAAAATCAGTAGTACTTAACCTACTTGCAGCCTATTACCCTGAATTTACAACCAATAATTGGGAACATAGTTACCTACTCCAGTAGGAACTTATACTAGAAATGGAAATGAGAGAGCAAAAAGGAGGAAGAAAAATAAAAGATATCAACAACCTGAATATGAGAGCCTCCACTTTAAATCAAATCAGCGGATGGAGCTATGATCAAAATCCTTATCCTTGGTTAAACGATTAACTGTGGTGCTTCACAAACTACTGAAACTAGGTTTCCGACTTAATGATTTTTAAATTTAACTAACCGATTGGCAATATAATGAACATAGGATGATCACAAAGAAAGAAAGAAAAAACTAGCATAGAATCGCTTGAAAATATTTGTTCATTTTCATCTTTTTTCTTTCTTTCTTTGTTGGGTCTAATTCGATTGTAAACTAGTAATTTCAATTAGGACCACCCACATTTTTCTTTCCCCCCATAGCTCTAGCTAGACCAAGATAAATGGTTACTGCCAAAAAACCCTCAACCACAGTGCCAAGTTTAGGGGTGGGAAAGATTGTAGCAGCCCACACAAGATTCTAATTTTTGAAATAACTAATCTTAAAATTGTAAAGCTCCTATCAGCCATTTGATTACTAATGGTAAGGAAAAATAAGTTGTATATAAAATTACTCATTTTAAAACTGCAAAAAACATAACCTCGCAGGAATTTACTACCTTAGCGTCTGTTTAAAACAAGCAAATGGGCATTCGACAAACCTACATATTTAACTAACCGTAACAGCTAGAGGGAACTGAGCTGCTTCTTGATTAGACACAGACAAATAGCAGTAAAAGGGGGTTTACCTGGAAGTTCCAGAAGTGAGAGCCAATAAAGTTGGCATAATTCCCCACTTGAACAGTTACGATTTCTCTCATACTGAACAAGGAACAATACGACGTCTACAACAGTGGAACTGAACTGAGTCAGTGGCAGAAATTGGCGCGCGATATAGGAAATAGAGGGAAAACGCCGCCCCGACCTTGTATTGTATTCCGTCATAAACCCTGTATACTTGACAATTATTGAGCTCGCGACCAACGTGTAATGTTTAATTAAAATCAAACTAACTTTACCTTTAAGGGTTCGTTTACTACGAAAGATAAATAAAAGTAATCATAGGATAAAAATTTACTATCAACTTATTTTTTATTTGGATATTAATTTTGGGATAAGTTATCTCAAAATTAAAATAATACAAGGATAATTTATATCTGCTAGATGGTGGAATAGTAATTCCAGAATAGGTTATCACTTGATAAAGTAATAAAATTGACAATCTCATGATTAATACAACATACCAAACATTCAATAAAAAAATAATACTAGGATAACTAATCACATCATAACTAACAAGTATAATTAATCCAGTATAACTAATCTCAGTATAACTTGTCTTTAAACCAAACGACCCCTAAAGGAAACATTATTCCAGAATTGAAATAAACATATATACTACCCCTACATTTTATCATTTATTTATTTGATATGAATATTGATATTGAACTAATATTGTTACACTTTTGAATAGCATATATTAGAAAGATATTTTTAGAGATGGACATTATAAAAAAGAGACGAGAAATATCTAAATTGAAGGTTTAATTTTGACAATTTACATATATACTGATATTGATTGTGCATAATTCGCACTTATATATGCCTTATTGTTAGATATTCTAATTAATTTCATAGATGAAAAATATTGAACAATTCCGTAGATCTTTTAAGATTTATTTTAGCTGCAATATCGATGGTACTAATAAGTTTTGATTAGTAAATAAGAAAATTAGAACGACACAAAGAAAACTTCATGTAACACTGTAACGACTCGGTCGGTCGTTTTGAATATTATAACCCAATTCTCTCATTTATTGCTCAATTTATGCCTTGCAATTGATTTATGACGTATCGGGTTAGTTGGTTCGGGTCCGGAAGAAATTCAGAATGAAATGAGACACTTAGTCTCATAATTAAAAATTTTAAGTTAGAAAAGTGGACCGGATATGGACCTATGTGTAAATGACCTCAGATTTGAATTTTGATGAGTCCAATAGCTCCGTATGGTAATTTTGGACTTAGAAGCGTGTCCGGAAAAAATTTTGGAGGCACGTAGAGGAATTGGGCTTGAAATGCCGAAAGTTGAATTTTTGGAAAGTTTGACCGGGGTGACTTTTTTATATCAGGGTCGAAATCCGATTCTGAAAATTTTAATAGGTCTGTTATATCATTTATAACTGGTGTGCAAAATTTGAGGTCAATCGGACGTGATTTGATAGGTTTCGACGTTGTTTGTAGAAATGGAAAGTTTCAAAATTCAATAGGCTTGAATTGGGGAGTAATTCATGGTTTTAGCATTGTTTGAGAGGATTTGAGGATTCGACTAAGTTCGTATAATGTTTTAGGACTTGTTGGTACATTTGGTTGAGATCCCGAGGGACTCGAGTGAGTTTCGGATGGTTAACGGATCAAAAAATTGAACTACAACAGCTGCTGCAATTTCCTTCTATTGGAAATTTCTTCTGCCATAAACGAGCCCAGAAAATCGAGCCCAAATAAATCGAGCCCAGAATATCGAGCCCAGAATCGAGCCCAAATAAATCGAGCCCAGAATCAAGGACGATCGAGCCCAAGGTCGAGGGCCACGATCGAAGGCAGGGTCGAGGATCAGGCTCGAAGCCACAATCGAGACCAGGGTCGAGGGCCACGATCGAAAGGCAGGGCCGAAGACCAGGGTCGAGAGCCATGATCGAGGGCCAGGATCGAGGGTTAGAATCGAGGCCCAGGATCGAGGACCTCGATCGAAGGCCAAGATCGAGGCAGTCTGGGCAGAATTATAGAAACAGGGACTTTGTCCCATTCGCCATTTTTGAAAAATTGGAGCTTGAGGATAGGCGATTCTTTTGATATATTTTCAAGAAAAACTTGAGGTAAGTCCCTTGTGATCATTTCTACTCCATAATATTGAATTATCATCGAATAATCCGACTAGATTACATGACTTTGAGGTGTAAATCGGAGATTGGAACTTAGAAATTTGGAAATAAGATTTGTAGATTTGAGGGTCGAGTTGAGATCGGATTTTGGTAAAATTGGTATGGGTAGACTCGTGGTTGAATGGGCTTTTCGGATTTTATAACTTTTGTCGAGTTTCGAGACGTAGGCCCCACGGGCGATGTTTTAGCTAAATTTTGGATTTTTATGAAAAAAATAGTATTTTCTTATGGAATTAATTCCAATAAATTTTATTGACTGAAATGAATTATTTGTGCCACGATTCGAGGCATTCGGAGGCCGATTTGCGAGGCAAAGGCATAGCAGAGTAAAGAGTTTCACGTTTTTAGGTAAGTAATAGTTTTAAATCTAATCATGAGGGTATTAAACCCCGGATTTTGGTATCATGTGATTATTTTGGAGGTGACGCACATGCTAGGTGACGGGCGTATGGGCGTGCACCGAGGGGATTGTGAGTTGGTCCGTCCCGGGAAACTGTAAAACTGAATAACTTGTTGATAGTTATGTGCTCTATATGTGTTGTGAAAACTTGACTATAAGTCATGGTAGAAACCATGTTTAGGCTATATGTTGGTATTGTTGGGACCCACAGAGGTCGTGTACATGTGAATTATCTGCTTAATTTGTTATTTTGTACTCAGTTAGAGCTTACTTGATTATTTTATCTCAGTCTCTATTGTTCATTATTGATGTATCATATCATTGTTGTTTGGGCTGATTTTGTGATTGTGGAGAGCCCGGGAGACTAGAGAGCTTTATGACTGAGTGAGCCGAGGGCTTGATTGTGAGATATTATACCATAGCACGTGAGTTGGCCGTGCAGCACGTGAGTTGGCCGTGCAGATCTTTATATTATACTATGGCACGTGAGTTGGTCGTGCAACACGTGAGTTGGCCGTGCAGATCTTTATATTATACTATAGCACGTGAGTTGGTCGTGCAACACGTGAGTTGTCCGTGCGGATCCTTATATTATACTATAGCACGTGAGTTAGCCATGCATCACGTGATTTGGCCGTGCGGATTCAGATATTTATAATATGGCACGTGAGTTTTCCGTGCAACACGTGAGTTATCCGTGCAGATTATAGCGCTTGGGCTGTAGGAGCCCCTCCGGAGTCTGTACACCTCCAGTGAGCGCGGGTACCCATTGAGAGTGAGTGATGAGGGCTGGGAGCCTAGAGAGTGATGAGGGCTGGGAGCCCAGTGAGTGAATGTTGTCCTAAGAGGTTGTACTTGATTTCCATTTATTGTTGCACTTAGTTGTTATCTATCATTGTTGTGAGATCTCTGAAAGATTGTTGATATACGGATTACATGAACATGAACTGTATAAAAATTGATTTGACATTAAACTACCAGATTTGATAGCATATCTATTCTTTGCGGGAATTACTGGAAATGAACCATAACTGTTTAGCTCGTTACTATCTTCAGTTCCTTATTTATTATTGTTACTTGCTGAGTTGGTTGTACTCATACTACACCCTGCAATTCGTGTACAGATCCAGGTGTTCTCGGACATAGCGGGTGTTGATCCTTTCGCGCGGTTGATTTTCAGAAGATTTTGAGATAGCTGTTGTGTTTCGTAGATCTTGTCTCTCCTTCTCTATCTCTTTGCTTACTGCATTTGGTCTCAGACTATTATAGACTATATTTTTCAGACTTGTATTCATATTAGATGCTCATATACTCAGTAACACTAGGTTTTGGGGAGTATTTGTATTGTATTTAAATATTATATTTTCAACCTTAAAGAGAGGTTTTGGTTTATTGAGATTTTCGGCTTGCCTAGTATCGAGATAGGCGCCATCACGACAAGTTGGGATTTTGGATCGTGACAAGTTGATATCAGAGCCTAGGTTACATAGGTCTCACGAGTCATGAGCAGGTTTAGTAGAGTCTTGCGGATCGGTACAGAGACGTCTGTACTTATCTTCGAGAGACTGCAGAACCCTTAGGAAAATTTCACTCTCTTGTATTCTGTCGTGCGAATTTGTTAATTCTGGAAACTAAATTTTTGCTATTCTATTCTCTTACAGATGGTGAGGACACGTATTACAGGATCGAACGGTCAGCAACCAGTTAGGGCTGCGAGAGGCCGGGGCCGTGGTAGAGGCTGGGGCCGAGGTAGAGATCGAGGTGTAGCTCGTACCACAGTTGGAATAACACATGTAGTAGCAGCAGTTGTTCCAGCTCAGGAGCAGATTCCAGATATAGTTGAGCCGACAGGATCAGCTCAGGCACCAGCTGTGCGCAATGAGATTGCGGGCATTCACGAGACTTTGGCCCAGATATTGACAGCATGCACTAGTCTTGCTCAGGTGGTTTCGGCTCAGGCCGCCCCTGCCACTTCTCAGGCTGGGGGAGGTACTCATACCCCAGTTGCACGTACTCTAGACCAGGTAGTACAGGAACTTCAGATACCGGGGGCACTACCAACCCAGCCGGTTTCAGCTACTCAGGCCCCGGTAGTTCATGTTATGGCAGACGATGAGCAGAGGAGACTTGAGAGATTTGAGAGGCTTCGACCTCCACCATTTAGCGGTACTGAGTCAGAGGATGCTCAGGATTTTCTGGATAGGTGTCAACGGATGCTTCAGACAGCGGGTATTCTGGAGACCAGTGGGGTCTCATTTACTACTTTTCAGTTTTCTGGGTCTGCACTCAGATGGTGGGAGACTTACGAGAGACGTAGGCCTGTTGGCGCAACACCCCTTACTTGGCATCAGTTCTCCGTGGTCTTTTTGGAGAAGTTCGTACCTCAGTCCCGCAGAGAAGATCTGCGCAGACAGTTTGAGCAGCTTTGCCAGGGTGATATGTCCGTGACGCGGTACGAGATGAAATTTTTTGAGTTGGCTCGTCACGCAGTCTGGTTGGTTCTCACTTATAAGGAGAGGATTATGAGGTTCATTGATGGCCTCGCATATCAGCTGCGGTTACTTATGACTAGGGAGAGAGTATCTGGTGCTACTTTTGATGAGGTAGTGGACATTGCTCGGCAGATAGAG